GCCACCCAGGCGCCCTCCCTACTGAATTATCTTGACCGCATCTGGCTGGGTCTATTTCTGGGCTCTCTAGTCTGTTCCACTGATTTATGTGTCTGTTCTTAACACCGGTTAATTCCAGTGTTATCTTAGTGGGGCCACCCTAGCCCCTTGACCGTTTTGTCCTCTTCTCTGTCCCCGTTCACTTGCACTGGAGTGATCATTCAAACGTAAGTTGAATCATTGTTCCCCTCTAATGGCTCCCTTTGCCTGCGGTTATCAAATCTAAATTTCTTACTTTGTGTTGTTTCAGGGCCTTCATGAACCTGTCCCCTACTCACCCCTTGCGCCTCACCACCCTTCTGCACCTCTTCTGCTTGATCCTGTGTCCAGTTGTGCCGGAAAGCGCTTCCCTCTTCTAAGCCTTTGTGCTTGCTTTCTCCTTGCTTGTCTTAGAGCCCTCCCCACTATCTCCGCTTCCTGTGTGCGAGACCAGGTCTCACCATCCTCCAGGTTTTATTCAGTGTCATTTGTTATTTCCTCTTCCTTTTCTCCTTTCCTGGCCTACATTCTCTTGGTGTAGTCGCTCTGTACTCCAGTAACTCCACACATAATACAGTTGCTACTTTAAGATAGTTCTCACACTTTTTGGTCTCACGACTCCTTTATGCTCTTAAAAATTATTGAGGACCCCAGATGACTTTTGTGTATGTGGGCTATAGCTACCAATATTTACGGAATTAGAAATTAAAAAAATATTAATTTACATAAAAATACAATAATAAATCCAATACATGTTAACGTAGTGATTTTTCATAAAAAAGATCTTATTTTCCAAAACAAGAGGGTGAAAAGAATGACATTGCTTTTGCAGTTTTGCAATTCTCTTTAATGCCTGGCTTAATAGGATATAGCCAGATCCTCCTATCTGCCTCATGTTCAGTCTTTGGTGATATTGCTCTCTGTGCGGCCTCTGGAAAATTCTATGGTAGCCTTGTGAGAGAATGAAAATGAACAAAACAAGATTTTTGATTATCAGGGAAATAGTTTTTATTGTGTACATGCTCTGGAAAGGTTTTGGGAACTCGTGGGTGTCCCTGGACTACACTTGGAAAACTACTGCTTTATAGCAATCACTTCATTAGCTGGCTCTTCCCTCTGACCATGTACTGAGAGTAGGGCCCAGGTCCACCTTCCTCACTGCTGTATCTCTAGTGCTTGGGACATTGTCTTCAAGATATCAGTTGATTGATTCATTTATTCAATCAATTTCTCAGTCGATTTGATTCTCTAGAAATAGACATCGCACACTAGAGGTTTATGCCATGTGTATATAAGAGAATTGTAGACCCCGGGCATTTCATAAACCAATTCCAGTGGAGCACTTTGGTTTTGTTTTTCATGTAATGTCACAAGAGTATAATTCTTCTTCGGGTTTAAATGTTGGAAAACAAAAAAACAAAACAAAACAAAAAAAACTTCTGTCTTGGATGTAAAAATAAGATGTATGTCTATGGGATGATATGAGTCAGTGTAAACCAAACTATGAAATATTGCCTTACGTTCTGAAAGTCTAATCCTTTCTGTTAGTTCTGCTTCACCAGAAGGTGTGTGAAAATGCATGGTTCCTGTTCATTTGTTGTCAAGGAAATAGTTTAAGAAAAATACACAAGAGATACTTATTCTGAAAAGGTCATTAGGTAACCAGTAGGAGATCTTAGTTTACCTTAAATGCGTGCCAGAAAAAATGACCCATTTATTCACTGTGGACCAGAAAAGGACATTTACAGTCGCGGTGAAAGAAAGGACTAGCATGAGGCACAGTTTATTAATTACGTGTTGTCTGGTTTCCATGAAAGCCTTAATTAGAAAGAAAAGGAAAAGGTGCTTATTATTACAAGTTCAGCACTTATGGCATGTCATTATAGGACATCAACATGCTGTCCTACCCTTTCCTTAAAAATCGTGATATGCAAATACATTAATTATAGCCCGACTAAAATTTGTGTTTTTGACTTCAGTCTTCATCTTAATCTGCTTCATAGCATTCATACTTTTTGCCATGATAATCATCATAGGCCTTGAAACCACGAGGAGATTTTTATTTTTGCTTTGCAAAGAAAGCAGACTTTGAACTTTACATATAAGTTTTCTTACATTGTGGATTAGTGGCTTACTTATGTGGCCCATATAGGCCATTTAATAATAGTGTTATGTGTTTCTGATGTATTTTGATGACATTTTGGATGGAGGCAAATGAGAAAATTAGTGTTGGCCCCCAGCATTTATCAGGTAATTCTTCAATGGGACAGAATGTTTGCTAGTGAAGAAGTCAGTGGTCCTGTTAATATGGCCACCCTGCACTTGGATATCGCTCCCTGTGGTAGAGATGGCTGTGCTGTGATTTTCACATGCCATTAAAGAAAGGGCTGTTAGAAAACAGAATTGTTTACACTCTGTCCTCGTGAGGTTTGGGCAGGTTAATAGGCTTCCCTTTTATCAAGGAAAAATCTTTTTAGTTTTCATTTCTACCTATACAGCGTTTATCCCTCCTTTTAGGAAGGCCAGGATAAGTCTGTTTATTTGTATATTTTATACCTGTGATTGAACTGTTTGCTTATTAACAGGGTGGTGACACATTAAACCCATTTCTCTAGGAATAAGTATTTAAATTCTATGTGCCAGAGACCTTAGCATATTATGGGATGAAATATTTTACCCCTCTTCTTCCTTTTAGCACAGCATTCTGAAATATTTTGGTCATTGCAATGATCTCGATCGGGAGATGAGAAAATGCTTGAAGAAGGAGGTAAGAAAAGTGTTAGAGGATGAAAATGGTTGAACAGTAGAATAGAACATTTCTGAGCAATATTTAGAATACCATTACTAATTTTTATTCCAAATTTTAGTATAACAGAGAGAATTGACACTTTATATGTATGTTCTCCCCTAAAACCAAGAGGAGAAATGAAAGGACATTGCTGGGTTTTTTTTTGTTTGTTTGTTTTTTGTTTTTTTTTGCATGCACATAAATGAAAATGACTTCCTTATTATAATCATTGTAACTCCTCTGGATGAATTGTAAGGGCTAGGAAACTGAATTTGTTCAGTAGAAAGACTTTGGTCAGTCAGCTATTAGCCATAGCAGGTAACTAACACTTTCTGGGCCTCCACTTCCTCATAGAACGTGGCAGGAGCTAGGCTTGGGCTCCTCACAGGTTTAAAATTGTGAATTCTTCATAACCATGGCATGTGTGAGACACACGGATCTAGTTTGACTTGGCCGGAAAGACTCATTTCCTGAACCCGGTTTTAGGCCATGACTTGGACTTGGGCATATAGCAGAGTGCTTTTGAAATCTTTAAATTTAACTCCATTTCTGTTTTGTACATCAGTTGTTTTATGTCCCAAACCTTTAAAAATCTGTAACTACTGAACACCTGCCGTCCAGTTTTCTTTCCTTTTCTATATTTTTGAAATTTTTTCCTATTAGCCTCATGTTGAAAGGTATTAGTTATAATATGTGAGCTGTCCAGCATCTATCTTCAACTTTTGTATATTTCAATCTGAAGCTTTTTTTTTTCCTTCCCAGAATCCCTTTCCAGTGTCTTTACCGTTTTGAAGAACTTTCTGGAGTTCTCAGTTCAGGGTGATAATTTTCTTTGCACAAATGTGTACATACAGAAATGTTTTAAATTGACTTTCAAAGAGTTTTTCTTCCTATTTACAGGTAAAGCTAGTTTATATGAAAACTGAACCTAGGGCTTTGTTCCCGTTTTAATAAGATGATGGGAAAAAGAAGCCCACACTACTTTATTCAGTACAACTGTTTATTTCTCACATGCTTTCAGTTGTGTCAGATCACTTTTTCCCTAAGTTTAGATTTTTTTCTTCTTCTTACAGTTCAGTAATTTTTGCCATTTTACCAATTGCAAAATTTTAGATTAGGTATTTATTTGAAATTTTCTTCCCAGGTGGTCCTGAGCTGTTAGTGACTATTAGGTAGAATGTTGTAGATATTTTTCTTACTTTGAGTTTGTTTTCATATAAATTCTGGATTTTCTCCTTGACTTATTTTCTAAGTCCTCTGTGTGGTTTTTATGTCGGTAAATTACCTGATTTATAAATGTTTTTGTCTGTTCTTTCCTCCTTCAGTCCTCTGAACCTGCACTCATTTATTTCCTCTCTGCCTTTAATGCTTTCTAGTTGACCATTTCCTGCGTTTCACGTGCTCCTCTAACCATCTCCTTCATGTACCATTTGAGTACTTCATTCCTTGACACTTTCAACTAGAAAAAGGGTCTGGCCAGTTCCCTTAGCCTCTATTTGCTGCTGTGTCGCTGCTTTTGTTCTTTCTATCGAAATAATAACTAATACTACTTCTGCAGCATCCTGTTTTGTCCCTCTTAATTTTTCGATTCGGTTTGGTTTGGTTGTGTTGTTCACTGAAGTTTTGTGAATAACATCGTGTTCATCCTTTTTTTTTCTTTTATTCAAAGGCCATCTGGACTCCCTTTGGGGATATCTTAACATACATTTTAACATAGATTATATTTTTAATTTGCTCTTTAACTTATTATTTTGGCTACCTACAAAGTATTATCTTCTGAAGATTTACCCTTACAACCCTCTTCCCAACCCGATTGCTGGAGGCAGTCCAGTATATGTGATTAAAGATAGATACCAAATGTTTTTCTCAGAGTAGGTATCCCTCCATGTTCTAGAACAGTGCCTTTTTTTTAAAAAATAGTTTTTAAAGTGATGAAATGCTCTTTCCCCCTGACAATCTTAGGAGGAAAATTAATGTGTGACAGATAAAAGGAATGATTCTGGTTAAAGGGACCTGGTGTTTCATCTGTAATTTGAAGTGGCCCTTTGATGAAGAAGAAAAAAAAGTTTGAAAACTCATTCCAGAGGCTATGTTAGAACTCTTCAATCAAAACTTTAGATCTAGAAAACTTCTGAGAGATGATCTAGCCTAGCTCCTCTTATTTGAGGTTATGGGACCCGAAGACGCAGTAAGCATGAACCTTCCCAGCACTGGCTCAGGGGTCCGGGGCAGGGGACCCAGTTGAGTCCCTACTCAGCTCTCTATCATTGATTTTCATTTCTGCGGCCTTTTTCCGTATCTCTGGCTCCTAAAAGATTCTGATGCTTAGTTGTTCACATATACTTAGTTTTTTCAACTTGAATTTACTTTTACTTTTTTCCTTTTTCCATAGGGACCCTTCATTCACTTTTAAAATATGTCTATCGGGGTATATAAGCCTGTACATATATCCATACAAAAACACTTATATTCACATTTCTCTGCTTTAAACAGTGCTTTTTCTAAGTGCCAGGCTGTGTATTTCCTGTTACTTATAACCTACTGGCCAGATCCAAATACTAGGCTGAAAACCTCCAAGGTGAAAACTGCACTTAGATCCAACTGACTACAGAAATGTAGGATTTGGAGAGAATCAGGTTTGATGACTATTCATAATGAAAAGATCCTGGGAGGTTCAGCTGAATATAGGTTTCCATGCTAACTAATAGGATAATATGGTTGCCAAGAGCCAATTACTCTTGATAATATTTATAGAAATAAAATGTCTAGGTCATAAGAACTAGTAGGTCCTCTGTAGCCCACATCTGTCAGACTGTGTGGAACACTGTCTTTAATTCTGGTTGTGATATTTTTTATAAGGGATATTGATATTAAAGCACCTTATAAAAGGTAGCTATTAGAAGGCAGAAGCCATGTTCTATGAACCTTTGTAGAAATCAGCAATGTTCAGCCTAAAAAAGGTAGTAAGTGGATTTTCTGTAATCAGATATTTGCAAGAAGAAATAGAGGGCAGTAGGAGAATTTACAGGGAAACACTTATTGGTTCAACATTAAAAAACAAAAACAACCTTTGGAACGAGTAGAAGGGTCCAACAATTAAACAGGCTACCTCTCAGGTAGTTAGCTGCTCATAGCTAGAAGTGTTCAAGCAGAGGTTAGATGACTTCAATGGATTGTGAGTTCCTGCAGAACAGGACAGAACTCACTCATCTTAAATATTTACTGAATTCATATTTTGGGAGAAAATTAATTCAGTAAATATTTGTGCACCTATTAGGATGTAGGTGCTGTACTGTGTTTGCAATTTCAGATTCCGTGAAATAAAAGACAAAAAAGAATTTTATCAGCAAAAACTATTTTGCAAATATTTTAAAATATTTAACTCAGCTGATATAAATGGTAATATAATCTGCTGTCTCTTCTCTCCCCCCTTCCTTTTATTTTCCAGTACATGGAAAAGAGGACCAAGAGCAGGGAGCATGGCAATGCGATGCGAAAAAGACTTTTTAATCCTGCAGAGGAATCTGAAAAATAAATTAGAGGCATACCTCGTTTTATTGTGCTTCGTTTTATTGAGCTTCGCAGATAATGCATTTTTTTCAAATTGAAGGTTTGTAGCAACCCTGCGTCGAGCAAGACTATTGGTGCCATTTTTCCAACATCATTTCTCACCTCGTGTCTCTGTATCACGTTTTGGTAATTCTCACAATATTTCACACTTTATAATTACTATCCTATTTCTTATGGTGATCTGTGATGTTACTATTGTAATGATTTTGGGGTGCCGCAAAGCATGCCTGTATAAGACAGTGAACTTAATCAACGTTGTGTGTATTCTGACTGCTCACCAACCAGCCATTCCCTCGTCTCTCCCTGTCCTTGGGCCTTCCTATCCCTTGAGACTCAACATATTGAAATTAGGCCAGTTAATAATCCTACAGTGGCCTCTCAGTGTTCAAGTGAAAGGAAGAGTCCCCCATCTCTCACTCTAAGTCAAAAGCTAGAAGTGATTAAGCTCAGTGAGAAAGGCATGTTGAAAGCCAAGATAGGCTGGAGCCAGGCCTCTTGTACCAGTTAGCCAAGTTGTGAATGCAAAGGGAAAGTTCTTGAAGGAAATTAAAAGTGCTGAATGTGTGTGCCAGGGAACACGAATGTTAAGAAAACGAAACAGCCTTGTTTCAGTGGTCTGGACAGAAGATCAAACGTCCCCTTAAGCCAAAGCTTAATCTAGAGCAAAGTCCTAGCTCTTCAATTCTGTGAGGGCTAAGAGGTGAGGAAGCTGCAGATGAAAAGTTGGGAGCTTGAAGACGTTGGCTTGTGAGGTTTAAAGGAAAGAAGCCATCTCTATAACCTAAAAGTGCTTGGTGAAGCAGCAAGGGCTGATGTAGAAGCTGCATCAACATCGAGACAAGACCCTCCACCTGCAAAAAGATTATGACTTGCTGAAAGCTCAGATGATACGGTTAGCACTTTTCAGCAATAAAGTATTTTTTAATTAAGGCATGTATGTTGTTCTTTAACATAATGCTATTGTACACTTAATAGACTACAATATTGTGTAAACATAACTTTTATACATGTTGGGAAACCAAAAAATTGATTTGACTTGCTTTGTTGTGATACTTGCTTTATCTTGGTGGTCTGGAACGAAACCTGTGGTATCTCTGAGGTTTGCCTGTATACTTTCCCTGGATGCCTTGGCTGAGAGAAGACCTAAAGACTCTTGGTTGATAACCAAAAGAATCTTACCTCATTTTGTCTCCAGAATCTTTTGAATGGAAAGTGACGCATGGAGAAATACGGAAACCCTGATGCTGAATATTTTTTGGGCGGAACCTTAGGTACTCTCTCGTCTGCCAATATATCTGACTTCCAGCACGTTTCTTCCCTTGGCCAACAATCAGTTAGCATTGGCGTAACTTATCTCCTTCAATAAAATAATTGACTTTAATGATATTTTCTCTGTTCTCTTAGACTTTCCTGGAATTAGGGCAAAATGGTCCCATTTGACTTTCCTTTTTGACAATGTGGTGATTCTGGAGCTTAAACATTGAAGACACAAGCTAGGGCAAAAAGAGTTTGGGAAGTCATAGCTGTGTTAACAATATGAAAACGACCCAACTTTATCGTTCCCAGACTCATTTCCAGCAGGCACCCCCCCGCACCCCCAGTGCTCTTTCTGCCAGGTGTTTCTGAAACTGGCAGCAATCGATGTCACCAACTTCCTGCCACAGCCACAGCAAGGGCTTGTCTTCTTGTCAGATGAGGTGTCAACAGACTGTGAGCTGTGAGCTCCTTCTAGTGAGTTCTGTGTGTATGTCCAGAATGAGACCTTGCTGACGTCGGTGTTTAGTAAGCGACTTCCCCATCATCAGAGGTGTTCAAGAGCACTTAGCAGGGTGGTTACACAGGATGACAGGCATTTGATGAAGGGACGGAGGAAGAAGTAGAATTAGTTCTGAGGGCCCTTTCGAGACTGAGATTTATGAATATTTATTCAGCTCCTTCCTCCATGTCAGTAGTACAGGTACAGAAATGAGATGTTTTGCCTTTAGAAGCTTGTAGTAAACTGACGAGTTGACTATTACAATATGTTGTGGCGCCACGATGAGGTTGCTGTCGTAGAGAACACAGAAGGGGCATCTATGCCTGGCCTTCAGGAAGAAGGAGCCATTCCAAGAAAGCTACTTAGCAAGGTGACCTTTGACAAACAGTGAAAACAGAATACATTCTGGGGAGCTTCAGGTTGTCTAGCATGACTGGAATGTGAGGGCTCATGGTGGAGGAAGATAAGAAATGGCTTTGAATTCAGTTGGAGTTTTTCTCCAGTGTTGTGTGACCAGTTGCAGATTTCAATATGGCGATTGGTGATTTGTGGAGGGGCCTTAGTTGGAAGGGTGATATGTTTTGATTTGTATTTTAGTAAGATTTTTCTGATTATAGTTTGGGGGATAGATTGGAGAAGGGAAATTACACCCAGGGAGTCCCATTCGATTTTTGCCCTAACTTCGGTGGTAAATGAAGACCTGAAATAGAGAAGTGGCTTGAGGATCCAGACAAGTGGCTAGATTTGAGGGGAGTTTGAACACAGAATCAGCATGGCTGACTAGGAGGTCTCGGGCACTTGTGTCTGCATGCTGCTGGGGCCCTGCCCTGAGTGGGAGGGGGTGTAGCAGAGGTGCGGGGTAAAGTGCTGGGTTTGAAGTGTGCGCAGAAGACCCTGGGTGGAGGGGGCTTTCCAGCTTCTGAGGATGCACATCTAGAACGTAGTAGTCGTCTGGACGAGAACAGAATTGGGAGACAGCAGCTTGCATGTGGCCACCAGCACCCTGTGGGCCGGTGTTGATTGTGGGCTACCAGAGGTGGTTTTTTTGTTTTGTTTTGTTTTAAAGATTTTTTATTTATTTGTCAGAGAGAGTGCAAGAGAGCACAAGCAGGGGGAGTGGCAGGCAGAGGGAGAAGCAGGCTCCCCGCTGAGCAAGGAGCCCGATGTGGGACTCCGTCCCAGGACCCTGAGATCATGACCTGAGCCAAAGGCAGAGGCTTAACCAACTGAGCCACCCAGGCGTCCCCCACCAGAGGAGTTTTATAGAGCAGGATGAAACTTTGGGGTCTCTTGATTTTTTTTAAGTTCCACATTTTGGTAGAACATTGGACAGTCTGTAAGTTTTGTCGACTTCTCACCCTAAGACCCCTGAACTCCCCAGAGGTATCGATAACTGACAGTTGGGTGGGTCATCTATAGATGTCCGTCACTATTTCAGGACAAGAAAAGGAGCCCCATATAGGCATAGAGGGAGGCATAGAGGGAGAGGGCAAACCATAGAGAATGGTGCCACCGAGTTCCCAAAGGGTTCCAGAGGAGGGAGTGTTACTGGAGCAAATAGGGTCGGAGGCGCCCTTTGAGACTTTGGTTCCTCTTTCATCCCTGACCTGAGAGCCGCTTCCCGTGGCGAGGAGGGGGCAGGAGCTTATGGGGAGCTGGAGTACGCAAGCATATTTGGAAAGGCTTGGCTCTGAAGGGAAGGACATTGTAAGGTTGAGAGAGGGCCTTACAAAATCAAAAGGAAATGGTGACACTTGGGAACTGGTATATTTGAAAAGAATGCTGGACAGGAGGGAGGGATTGATGTGTGGAGTGAAGTCTTTGAGGATGCAGAAGCGAGTGAGATTCAGGGCCCTTGCTGACAGGGATGCCGTTTTTTTTCCCCAGAAAACTAACGAGAAACTGAAAACTTAAAGCACCATAGGAAATGTAAAGTATTCTTTTCGGAGAGCAGTAAATACCTGTCTGCACCGGATGCACTGCTCTCACCCAGGCTCTGTGTCTGCTCTTTGAGGACCCAAGTCTCAGACACACTAACATGGTTACCAATAGCTAGTCGTATGCTGGTAAATGTTTAATAACTGGCCCTGACAAACGAGCATAAAAGACACGAATTTGTAGCATTTGCCATTGTCTGTGGTGGACGCCATCCTGCCAAGGCAGATTTCAAACTACCAAGCTGACAGTCACCCAAGTGGAGCTGGGCAGACGTGCTCACGGGAGGCTCTCCTGAGCTGGTCCTGGCGGCCTCTAGTCGCCCATGGCACGACACTACCATGCGGAAGGAATGCAGGAAGTCGTCCCTGATTGCCCACTAATGGCCACCTCTCCCACAGCGAGCATTCTGTCATTTGGAGGTACCTGTCACCGAAGATGTATACTAACGCAAGACTGCTGGGCCTTCGGCGACAGAGCACCTGTAGTCCACAACTGCTGGAGTTCACAGAGTCTGCAGGGGCGTGTCATTCTGTGGAAGAGTGAGGAACCGTATGCCAGGTGGATTAGGGAGAAAATGGGACCTGCCTGTGCGTTGATGGTTGGATTTGTGCCCCAGCGCTCGGCTGTCTGCATCTCTTTCTTTTGGGATACCGTGCATGACCTTCTGGTTTAGGACATGTCACCAGCTGCTTTTCTCAGCCCTCTATGGGTCAGCGTGAGATCTCACAATTTTCTCCTTTGCAGAGCAAGCACATTTTCCTCCTGGAGATTTCTGTTTTTTTTTTTTTTTAATTTAAAATTTTTTTTTTACTGCCACTTGTCGTAGGAGACTAAGAGGCTGGAGGGAGATGAGGTGGGAAGGAGCAGAGGTCCTGTGTCCTCTTGCCTTTATCAGGCACCTGGCACTGCGTTGAGTGCTGGTGCTACAGTGATGAACGAGCTGGACCTAGTCTGGGTGGGGGCTCATGTCACGAAGGACCACCCAAGTCCTGGTAAGGAATTTGGGTTTCCTTTCAAGGGCTCTGGGAAGACACTGTCCGGTCTATGCAGGATGCAGAGTGAAGTGATAGATGGACTTCACTTTGTGTGGATTTCTAGTGGCTTTGGGTCATAAAGGGCCATCTCTTGAAGAGCTCAGGCCAAGGTTTTCCCGAGAAATCTAATTTTGTAGACCGCGTGAGCCCTGATTCTCTGTTCATGACAAATTTATTAACGTTTTACTGTAAGAAACACGACACAATGTTACTTAGGAGTGAGGATAGAAAGTTGAACTTCTTCTGACCCTTCATAAAT